AAGCGGGCCCTAAGCGCATGCCTGCACCATCTCACTGTATGTCACCAATGTAATGTTTGTAGATCCCTTTATTACATTTATCCTCGCCATCCATAGTCTCTAAATAACTTATTTCACGTATATATGATATTTAGGCTCGCTGGTCTCATCATACGAAAAAAGCATCAGGGGAGGCAGCCATAACCTCTGCCGCACTGAAGGGGGCGCACGTGAGCCCACAGGTTCTTGTTGCTACTGTTATTCTACGCAGAGACAGTAGACGCAACAAACTAGACTTATGAAACTAGAGGAAGATAAGGAGGACTTTTACAAAAAAGTATTAGAGATTGTTGTCCAGAAGGATAGCATGGACTTCATCTTCAAGTCAAGGTAAGACCCCAATTGTAATGAACATGGGATCTTACTAAGAAAGAACAATCCAATATTTAGATTTTGGGTATCCTTTTGTTGAACGGTCTGTTTAAAATGAATCGAAACATCAGACTAAAAAAGCTTTTGAAAATAACCGAATATTTCGATTAAAGTCAAAATATAATATTTGTAAATCTGACTGAAAGAGTCAGTGCCTCACCAGCCATGAACCTCACCGCACGTCACTGGTATTTGATGCATACTGAGTTTAACAGTGAGTGCATAACTTCCCTCAGTATTAAACTAACTCCTTAAACAAGATCAGTTTGAATATTTGCTCTGACATTTGGCTGTGATTGAAAAAGATAAGAAGAGCTTTGTTTTCATCTCCGGCTGCGATGAATAATGCAGCGGAGGCTGTCTGTGTGTCTGTGAGATTGTTTGGAGCAGTTTCCCCTCGTGTTCCCAAATCTTTGTCTGTTTAACTAAACAGATGAGACGAGCCTCTCCTCTTTCTCTTTGCCTTGTTTTGTGGAGTTTGCAGCTGCTGTCTGAGGACTCTGGGGATCAATGTGCAGACACTTGAAGTCCAGTGGATAAAACAACAAGCTCTGGCCACTGTAGAGGAGCACACATGTGTGTCTTTTGGAGATGTGTTGTTTAAAAGCAGCAGGAAGAAGAACTTGTATGTCAAATGTCACCGTCTTACTTAGATTGCAGCTGAGAAAATGTTCCAAGTTCAATTAGTTCTCTCCATTCCTGACAACATATTTGGTACAGTAGGAAGTCACACAATTTCCAAAAGTCAGTCTAAAACTGCAGAAGACGTTCGTCATTTTTCTAAAACACCAGACTTGCCACAAAGAAGAGGACTTTCATATCAGGAAAGGGAGAGGCTTATGAACCCTTTGAAGACAATTAAATATCAGCATGTATAATCTGACATGGATAAAGGAGCATTTTATTCACTTTTACTAAAGAGCCGTCGTTCTGCATGTGTCCCGCTGGCAGAATGAACCTTTCTGAGGCTCAATCTGTCAAAAAAATTGGACCCCAAATTGGGAATGCCTGCAGCTGTGAAGGCCTCTGACAGACAATGAGCGACACAATGGGACTTGCTGTGCCATTCGCTGAGAGGTTGTCATGCCAACGATACAAAAAGCCCCACGCTCGACCAGGAGCCCAGAGGAGACTTTGCTTAGAGGCCCTTCACTTCTCCTCACCTTCTGTTAACATCATTATTCATGTGAAGGAAAAAAACGCCTGTCATCTTCCTGCTGAAGCTTAGAGCGTGGCTGCTGCCCGTCTGTTCAAGCTGGGTTTTTAAGGGATTTTAACTCCACAAGAAGTGAACTATTGTGTGAGTAAACAGAAAGTCCCATTGTGCTGAGGAGTGTGACGGCAGCTTGAACTCTGAACCAAACCAGCAGGACCGTCGCTCCGGCTGGCGTCGGATCAGAAACAATATGCTCAGCAAGGAAAATGTTTTCACAATACACAGAACCAGTTTACGGCTGAATATATTTATGATTTGTAGGCGTTGTGGAGGAGGTACTCGGATCCTTTCGAAGTTTCAACAGAAAAATCTAAAATACTCAATCAAAAGTTGTGCATTCAGTATTAACTTAAGTAAAAGTATTAGTTTTATCAGTAAAGCTGGGTTAATACAGTAATGTTGAGACAATGCTCTTGATTGTTTATTTTAAAAGAGTACTCCTCAGATTCAGCATTGCAATAAATACTTTTCTCTAAAAAGAATACTTTAATATATCCCTGTCAGACTTGCAACGGACAGTTTAAAATCTATTATTTAGAATCAAGGCAGCAGAACCAGAAATAATAGTGTTCACTAATTTTATACTCAGCAGTTGAGCGATTTGGGCTTCATGCGCCACCGAACAGGCCCCGCCTCCAACGCTGTATCCAGATCTCTTTATCCACCGGGGCCCCAACCAGTCACTTTACAAAGCCTTGCATTTTGTATCCGTATAATTACATGCTTTTAGTAATTTGTAGCTAACTGATAAATACATGTAGTCAAATAAAAAAAATACAATATACCCCTTTGAAATGTAGTGGAGAATAGTAATAATGAAGCATCAACATTCATGTATTCCCCTCTGGACATGTACCAAATGTCTTGCTCCCTGCTCAGTATTATTAGTGTATGCTTCATTTTCTGGCTGATTTGTAACCTGTGGTTGACCTCAGCTATCTCAATTCCCTCCTCTTCAACATGCAGTAACATTTCAAAGTAAAACATGTCCAACAGGCTTCAAGTTCAGTTACACCATCTGTCTGTCTTTTGAAAAGCAAAAACAAAAAGACGCCATTCATTTGGAGCCTCCTTGATTCTCCTTTTGTTTGTGCAATTTGCTTTGGATGTGCCCATGCTCGCTCGCACAAGCACACACACACACACACACACACACACACACACACACACACACACACACACACACACACACACACACACACACACACACACACACGCAACACACACACACAAACATCACAGTGGAGCTTTGCATCCATACAGGCTCAGATGTGGTGAAACCTCCGGCTCACACCACCTCTGAGCCAGTCTGACATCCAAAACAATGACGGAGGATTATTTTGGGATGTAATTCTCAGGCAGCTCGGGGTTGAGGAGGAGTGACAACGCTTCACACATGTAATAATGTTCTGCTTTCCTTCCAAAACAGTGTACTGTAGAAACATGTTCATTTTAATTTATTTGCAGTATTGTCTTTTGTATAAATTCGTTTTTTGCTCAAAACACATTCAAACGGAATGTAAAATGTACGCGTCACCAAACCACCAAAAGTGCATTTGAATTAAAAATGTAATAATGTATTAAGTTTTAAATTGGATGTTAAATACTTTGTACATGTTTTGAATGTTTCATGGATGTTACTTTTTAAGAAATAACTTGCATACAGTTCCTTAAATAAAGAAAAGCAGAAACATCCACATCACATTGTCGAATGAAATGTTACCAACACTTATATCTGATACTTTCACCATCGAATATCCGCCTCAGGTTTCACATACAGCGGCCTTGTGTCTGTAAATGGATTAAGGAGATTACATTTCACAAACTGTGACTCTAAAGCATCGATGTGGGCAGGGAGCTGCTGACGGAGGGACAGTCAGCTGGAAGTGGACAGACAGCGACACACACTCCAAACATCAGATTGTGATTACAATAAAACACACACTGAATAAGGAATAATCTGCTCTGGTATTGTATATAATCTAGATTGCATGCATCTATAAAGATTGTGTTGTGCAGAAAATAACTGCCAGTGTGTCTTTTAAATACAATATAACAGAAATAGTTCAAGATTCAAGGCTTGTATTGTCATGTCTGCATAGCAGTGTAGTTATGACAATGAAATGATTAGCTCACGGGCTGCTCCAACAGTGCAACACAATAAAACAGATGTGCAAGTAAATCAAATATAATGTAGAGGACTGATTCTGATTGTATTGAAAATATAGCTCTTAATATTAGTTACATTTACACATTTTATTCTAGGATTGATCCATTAATGTATGATTGAATGATTTGATTGATTTTAATACCAAGTCCATTTCCTTTTTTTTTTACAAAAACTATGGAGGAATTTTGTGGAAATATTGTCTGAATGTAGTCTTGTTCCTTAGACTGGAAATCTATGGCCTTATGTGTGTTTTTATGTTTCTTAATCTTCTTGGAGGTTTTTTGTAGGATTGCGGCTTTGAATTGGACTTTTTGATTTGAGTGTGTATGACTCAGTATGAGGATGAAATGGAGGATGACAATTATAAATTACTTTTATTTCCAAGCGTGTAATTCGACAGCATTGTTAAACCCTCTTAAATGATCAAAAATCAACACCTTACTAAAACGATTTTTGACAGACGCCTAAAATGGTATATTGTTGTTAATACAAATATGTTATGCTTTCAATTACTTGAAATAGGTCCAGAGAGGCCAACAAAACATCTTATCTGTGTGACGTTGTGAGGTTACAAAACATCTGTAGACTGCTGTTGTGGTCAGAGGAGGAAGAGGGTTTGAAGGAGGTGGGGGTAAGGAGGTTGTCATGGAAACTCGTTCTCCGTTGCTGGGGGTGATGATGTAATATTACCCATCCCCGTGTTTCACACACACACACGCCTCGCTGCATGCACGTGGAGGAGACAGATTAAATGAAACAAAGGAAGTCCACAGATTGACCCTCTGAGCTACTTTTATGACAAACTGTCGATCTTTTTTCTCATTTTTTAGACAAGAAATCCTTGTACATTTCTAAGTAATCCAGTGCACTTAAAATAAAACCGCCCTCTTTTTTCCTCTCATCCTGCGGTCTTTGTCCCCCATACTCGCTGCACTCAAGCCCTGTGAGTGTGTGTTTAAGTGTGTGTGTGCTCCGTACATCATTATAAGACAAAAGGCTTCTAGAAAGACTTAGAAGTAGCGTAAGAAAGGGTTTTCAATAAAACATCAGATAGCAGCTGTAGAGGACGATTCCTGCCACATGAGGGGGCCAATGAGCTGCTGAGCTCCAGGTAAAAGGACAAAGGACACAAGACAGATTCAACACTTAATTCTCAGGTCATAGAAACATATCATAGAATTGAAAATATACATCAGGCGTCAGTCAAAAAACAAGCTGTGCAAAGCTGACTTTAATATTTCAAGATTCAAAAAGAGAGGAAATACTCACAACGATAGGAGACTCAAATACTTATAAAATATATAAAAGATAGCAATTCTGTGTTCAGTTAGTTTGACAGTTTGGCCCAATCGCAAAGCAGCCCCCATATATTCACACGTTTACATGAATGCCTCTTTGACCAATTGTCATTCTACTTTATCTACATAAAACAAATTTAAAACGACTCAGTGTCTGATCCCAGCCCTTTCATTCAGTCCCATAGAGTGCACAGACGCTGATCGAGAAGCAGCAGTTTGCGATGGTCTTCATCTATTGCATGAAGAGGAGGAGGAGGAAGGTGTTTAGGCTGCAGCTTCACATCTCTGGCTGAACAGCTCCTCCACCACCTTGGGGTCGGCCAGGGTGGAGAGGTCGCCCAGGTCCTTCTCGTTGCGGGCGATCTGCCGGAGGATCCGCCTCATGATCTTTCCTGAAAATAAATCCAGACAGAAGGTGTTAGTGATTTATTTTATTTATTTTATAGGTCTTAAAGGATTTTATCTTATTAATCTCAAAATGCTTCAATAGCAATATTTCTTTTTATGTTTTTTTTTCTTAATCGTTGAACCGTTATTCGAATTATGGCATTTTTATTACTATTATATTTTTATTTTTATTTCTGTTGTACCTATATGTGTTTTATGTGTTTTTTTGGGTGTTTTTTCTTTGTTTTATGGGGTTTTATATTTTATTTTGTTGCATCGATTCAATTGTCAGTGTCTTATCTGTCAGAGAGAAACCATTATTTATTTTATTTGCATCATACATGTTACCTCCTTGTGTCTATTAACCTGATCAAATGTTATATTTTGCTGCATGTACAGGTCTGGAATTTCTTGGTGTTTATTTCTTACTTGTGATGTGTCATTTTGTAAAGCACTTTGAGCTGCATGTGTTGTATGAAAAGTGCTAAATAATTAAAGCTTTATTACTATTATTATTACTAAATGAGAGGAAGAGGAGGATTGTGTTGTTGAGCTGTTTACCTGAGCGAGTCTTCGGGAGTGCCGGAGCGTTTTGAATGAAGTCCGGCGTGGCGATTGGTCCAATTTTCTCTCTCACTGAAAAATGGGAAGGAATCAGTGCTGTTCAGATAAAGATCTTCTGGACTTATTGTATTTACTTTTAACGGACTGTTTTCATTCAAATGTGTTTGTTCAGTCAGCTAGTTTTTGAACAATCTGAGCATTATTGTGCATTGTGTTCAGTCAAACACATGTTCAGGCCAAATCTACATTTTTGTGAGCATAAGAAAACACAATAGTTGCACTAACCTTTTTCTTCACCAATAGCTTTTGAAAATTTGACTTTTTTTAGTGTGATGTAGTTATGGATCTAAAAATCCCATTTCATATCAGGGATTGATCCAATATAAACCAAGAGAGACAATGAAACAGAACAAGTTATCCAACAAAAACTCTTCACAGCCTCACCCAGTCTCTTGAGCTCGTCCTGCAGCGTGTGGTTGAACTCCCGGCTGTGCTTCAGGGTGACGAAGCAGTACAGACACTCTCCCTTCACCGCGTGAGGCCGACTCACCACCGCAGCCTCCGCCACCGCCGGGTGCTCCGTCAGCGCCGCCTCCACCTCCGCCGTGCTCATCAGGTGGCCTGAACACACCCAAAAGTAATTAGGGGCAAAACACATAGGAGAGGAATAATCACAACGTTTCTGGGGAGGAAAATGAAAAGAAATGGCTTTAAATTCAAATATATGATAACAACACAACAACACAGACTATAACACTCCTTGTTGTTAAATACCAACTATGTGCAATATATATGCCGTTAATAACTGCAATATATACCTGGCTGCTAAATCCTCAGAACTGTTACAGGATGTGTTTTTTGTAAATTGTGTAACTTTTTTTATTATAATTTCTTTTTTAATCTTTAATATTTCTTTATGCATGCTTCTTAGGTAACATTAAGCTGCCTTTGGCTCTTTTCTGCTGTAACAATGTAACTTTCCCCTCTGTGGGACTAACTGATTCTGATGTTCTTGTTATTGTTCTGAATTACATAAAAGGGTAGAATTGCCTTGGTTTTGTAATACCTTTTTATTTAGGGTATTTGAAGCAGACTGTGTTATCAGACAGTAAATCAGTTGAGTACCTGACACATTCAGCATGTCGTCTATTCTTCCTGTGATCCAGTAATATCCGTCTTTATCCCGCTTGCAACCTGAGAGAATGAAGAAAACAAGGTGCATAACCCCCAAAAGATTATTTTATAGCCTTTTTATCTCTCTCTTAAAAGGCTCTTTGGCATTTTGGTGAAAAATCAAGGGCATTTTTGCTATTCAGTGTTTTCCACTCGATTATTTGAGACTAGTGTCTTGACCATCCAGGTGTTCGGGGGCACAGTCACTTGTACAAAAGTCTTGTACATTTCATCATCGGTTTTGGTGTACTAAAGGAAGCTAAACTTACATCTTAAAATAACTTTGTTCTTTTGTATATTAATCTCTTGCTCGTCCTTGTATATGTACAGTGTTCAGAGAGGAAGGCAAATTAAGAATTTAATTGTAAACAAACTGTTTTTTAACTTCACACATGACAATGAACGTGTCTTGATATGAAGTGGGATTAAACCTGCAACGTTGCCATAAAGACAAAATGCGCCTGCAAGCTTCAGCCCACCTGTGGAGAAGTGTACAAATATTTCCGGGGGAAATTAAATTATGGCAGGCCGCCACAGTCTGGGTAATTAAAGGGAAACACTGGCATTAACCCTTGTTGTGTTCAAAAGCTGTTACCGTTCATGGTGTTCGCGGGTCAATTTTGACTCATGATTTATCTCTGTCCAAAACACACACAAAAAAAGACTATCATCCAATATTGTTTTAACTTCATCATAACTAACTTCTTATGCATTCATAACCGTACAATCCTGTTGTAATTTAATGTTATGGCCCAAAACACATTACACCACATATTGCACACGTGCATGTGTGTGTTCAGGTTCAAGTGTACATATTCTTTGAGAAAGGTCAAGTTCCCGTGGGGGGAGGGGGGGCAGAGCGAGGGGAGACCAGGTGCATGTTGCGAAAAATTATTGTTACAGTTGAAGAAGGGGGTGGGGTGAGTCACCCAAAACAATTCTGCTGGGTCTTCTCAGACCCGAACACCAAATTATACACTTTTTTTTTTAGAGACCTTCAAACTTGGCAAAAATGGTCAACATCAGTTTTGTAGTGTTTATATAGCTGTTGTGGAGGATATCATGAAGCCTTGTTCCGATAAAAAAAACTAGAGCGTAGTTATTATATAATTTGAACTTGAAACGGGTCACGGGAGACCCGAACACAACATAAGGGTTAAAGACTCTTCTGACATACAGTCTGTGCAGCAGGTGGGTGAAGTTGAGTGTTATTCATTCCTCACCATCACCAGTTACATAGAAGCCCGGGAATTTCTTGAAGTATGTGTTCTCGAAGCGTTCGTGGTTTCTGTACACTGAGCGCATTATGCCAGGCCAAGGCCTCCTGAATACCTGTAACAAAGCACAGAAAATACATATACATATAAGAGAGGTATTACTGCTGCTGCAAAGTTACATAGAGATGATTTAAAACGTACCAGATAACCCTCAGCCTCGCCTTCCAGTTCCTCCCCGTGTTCGTTGAGGATTGCGGGCTCTACCCCGAAGAAAGGGAAGGTCTGAAATATGAGATGTGGATTTAAAGGTGATAAAACGTTATTCTCTCATTAAAAAGCTCATAAATGTTTCTTTCAGATCATAAACTTGATCATAATCTGCAAAAGCCAAATTGAAATGTTATGAAAAACTGTTGAATCTCATGCATTGTTTCAGTCTAACCTGTCCTTGCCAGCATTAGAAGTATTGATGAAACTAACTCAGGAGATGCTGGTGTGTTACAGATAAGCATAAAAAGAGTATCATGTAATCCATGTTGTCACTTACAGCAGAGCCTGGCTTCAGAGGCGTGGCAGCAGGCAGAGGAGTCAACACATGACCTCCCTGTAGAGGAATAAAGTGACATTTAAAGGCACCTGAGACTCAAAAATGTGTATCTGTAACTTTAAGGGACAGCATGTAGTATTTAGGGAGATCTAATAACTATGTTTTCAGTACTATAATCACATAAAGAAACAGAATTGTGTTTTAGTTTGCTTAGACTGAGCCCTTTTGATCTACATAGTGAGCAGGTCCTCTCTTTAACACTACGTTGCACCGCCATGTGTCTACTACAGTAACTCAGAGCAGACAAACTAAACATTGGCTCTAGATGTTTTTCTGTAACTTTCAAGTAACCATTTTTAAATAAACAGCATTGATTTAACATAATTCTAAAAATGATTCTGAAATATAACTAAATACCAGCTGATTTGTGTGTTGATTGCAGGCAGATGTCACTTACGGTCTCTGTCTGCCAGAAAGTGTCGACGACGGGACATCTGCCCTGACCGACGACCTCGTGGTACCACTGCCACGCCTCCGGGTTGATCGGCTCTCCAACAGTACCCAGAATCCTCAGGCTGGAGAGGTCGTACCTGGTAGAAGCAGGTGAGAATACTTCCATCAGATTTATTTTTATTTTCCGTCATTATGTGGTTATGATCACCGCTATTAGCTAGGCTAGATTGGTATCCCAGCAACACGTGCATCCAGGGAAAGTCGTGAGCATATTTCTCATATTGTTGCACGATTCCCTTAAATTGTTGTCCATAAAACACCATTAGAGCAGCTTAGTATATGTTTGTTTATTGGTTGTCAGCTGGAATAAGCAAAACAAGTTTGAAAAGGTAAGAAAACTACATATCTGTTTTCCAGGTGGGTTTCGGTCTTCTAGGGTTGATGTTTTTCTTCATTGACAAGCTGATGAAGACTCTTTTACGAAGAGAACAGACTTGTATGTTGAGTTTTTTTTAAACTTTTATTGACTTGGCATTGGGTTTAAGCCCCTGTCACACTGTCCCGAAATTGACACCAGATGGACACACGATAAAGGAAATGTTCAAATTCGGCTGTGATCGTAGCAACATCGGGCCATTCGTGAGGGCATCTTAAGCCATCGTATGACCGCCGGCGCCGGTGGAGTTTCTCAGGCTCCGGCAGCAACTTCGTGAGCGGCAACTTCGTAAGGCACTCGTGAGGGCATCTTGTCAAATCGTGTCATCTTCGTGTTATCATCGGTGCATTCGCCCTCACTCTGATCGGGGCGAATGCCCGATGGCACCGATGATAACAAGATGCCCTCACGATGGCCTTACGAAGGGCAAAATTGACACACGAATTCAACACGAAAATGAACCTTCGCAAGGTCCTTCGGCAATTTTTTGGCATGCCAAAGATTTTGCCACCGCTCACGAAGTTGCTGCCGGAGCATGAGAAACTCCACCAGCGATCATACAATGGCTTAAGATGCCCTCACGAATGGCCCGATGTTGCTACGATCACAGCCGAATTTGAACATTTCCTTTATCGTGTGTCCATCGGGTTGTTTTATTGCACAACAAAATCATGTAAACATATTATGTAAATAACCCAATTTGTGTTCTGTGAAACTGAAAAGGATATAATATATTATTTTGAAGGAGAGTTGACAGGAAGTTGTTGTTGCTATGGAAACAACATTACGGAGAAAACGTAATATTTTCTACATATAAAGACGGATAAAGTAAAGAACAAAGTCTGAAGATATCAGTACAGTATCATAGTACTGTAACATAATTGTTTTTGGTACTTTCATTGCAGTTGTATGTCTTAAATGTAATGTAAATGTTGCCTTTGTGTGTAGTTCGGGGCCATCTTCGTGCGAAATTCACAATTCCATATTCGTGTGTCCATCGGGTGTCAATTTCGGGACAGTGTGACAGGGGCTTTAAGGATTCTTGCGAATTTAATGTTGGAAAGCATTAAAAAGGCATGTTCACTCGGTATCAATCACCAGTCAAATAGTTAACTTTCTTCACCTCACCACCGAGGAGTCTGTTACATAAGACTTTAGATCAGAGGGAGATCTTTCAGAAATTATAGGTGGGCATTTCCATATGAAAGCTGGGAGGCCTTGCAGTAAAAAAAGACTTGAAGCACCTTTCTCGTCCAGCTGTGTTTTCAAAGTCAGACTGCTCTAGCTCCTGGAAATCTGTTTTTTTCTGAGCAACGTGCGGGCTCTTACTTCTGCAGCGGCTCCCGACCGTACTTCATCAGCAGGCGGATGGCTGTAGGCGCTGTGTAGAACTTGGTGACTTTGTATTTCTCAATGATCTCCCAAAACCGGCCGACATGAGGGTGAACTGGGATACCTTCAAACTGGAGAAAACACACACACACACACACACACACACACACACACACACACACACACACACACACACACACACACACACACACACACACACACACACACACACACACACACACACACACACACACACACACACACACATGCAACTCTTAGAACGTCTTGAATGCACGATTTGTAATTATTTTGGCTTAATCAAAACAATAACAAAGGAAGGAGTTTGTAGGAATTATTTCTGTGTTTGTTGTTCAGGAGGATTTAAACAGGAGACTAATATCCAAAGGTCTCCTCCTCTCATAACAAGCATAGTGAGGGAAACCGTGAGGGAAACCGTTAAAAATAATTAAAGTAATTCCATGTGAGGAATCTGTGTTTTCTGACTCTGTTCAATGAGCAACAGATGAAGGGCAGAGAGTTAACAAGAGTAATGTTTTCTCTGTTTGTCTCTCTAAAATGTACAGGATAAGTTTTACGGAATTATCTTTAGATGTCTCCTCCTCTCCAAAACAGTCAGACCCAGGGATTTAAAATGGTAAAAGACACTGAATAAAGCAGTTCTAAAATCCTTCTTCCGCTTTCAATTTTAGGATCAAAAAGGACAAATGATGCAAAAACTGTTTTTTTAAATATATCTTGAATTTTGTTTAAAAAGTAAATGTATAAAGCTTCTTTTGGGCCACCCTGGGCTGATGCATGTGCAATATACGACTAATGATAAGGACCATTACCTTGATATAAATCTGGTTATTCTTTGAAAAAATGTGGAAAAATTTTGAATAATGTAAGTACCTCACTAAACACAATTTATCACATGTCCGTTCATTTTAAGACATTTGAATGTGGAAATGGTAAATTCGATATATATTTTTTAAAGGAGACTTATATATATTTTGAATTGCATTATGGGGATTTTTAACAAAACCAAAGGAACAAAGTCTCCTGACTCACGAGGACACTTGTGGCTCCGTTGGCCAGCGGGCCGTAGGTGATGTAGGAGTGTCCAGTGATCCAGCCGATATCTGCGGTGCACCAGTACACGTCGTCATGGTGATGGTCGAAAACGTACTTGAAGGTCAGCGACGTGTAGAGCAGATACCCGGCAACTGTGTGGAGAACACCCTGCACACAGGAGGAAACATGAATGAGGAGAAAATTGGTCTACACAAAGGAGGCAGAGAGCAGAAATAAGGGGGGGTGAAGTGTGTGTGGCTGGCAGAGACAGAGATGATTGCACTCACTATCTGATGCTCTAAGCCCCGTGTTTTGTGTAATAACATGTAGCCCCCATACACACAATGCAGTGCTTTCAACTTGCATTTATGCCCATTATAAACCCATTAACTCTCCCTTTTGCACAGCACAGACAAAGAAAGAAATATCAAAGCCAGGACAGTTAACACCATTACCGGCTTATCAGAGGAGAAAATAGACAGTGATTCAAAAGATGTGTTTTCACTGAGAAATTACAACAGAATTTGTTTTCCCTGTGCAAATCTACTGTGTTCTTCTACTATATAAAACTAGTTTATACATACAATCGCATCTTACCTTGGGTTTGCCGGTGGAGCCGCTGGTGTAGAGGATAAACAGCGGGTCTTCAGCGTCGAGCCACTCAGGTTCACACTCTTCAGGAGAGTCTCTCATCGCCTCGTCCCACCACACGTCACAGTCCGAGTCCCAGGGAGTCTGAACGCACCAAAACAGGAAAGAAATTCCAGGCGTTATTGGGCACAATTAAAAAAATACAAACAGCAACACTACATGTCCATTTTAAACTTCAGTATGCCCCTTAGAGGCCTTTTCTGAATCCTACATTTTCATTGGATAGATACAATGCAGTTTAACGTCCAACCAGAAGTGCCAAAAGCAGTAATGTACAGAGTATTCAGCATAAGCAGTAATGTATAGAATAAATATGATATATAGAATAAATATAGTAAGGGGAATATATGAATATGCTAGACATATACAGTGTTATTGAATACTGGTTTTGAAAACATATCTACCTGAAGTTTGTTGCATGCAGCTCCACTTTTTGTCCTGAGTGCCGGGTGCTTGATCACGAGGCATTTAGTGACAGAAGATGACCCTCTGTGACGAAAATACAAATACAAATTTGAGGCAGTAAAAGGGCATCAAATGGTATTTAATGGCTAGAGCTCCTGTCGTCTGTTTTGAATGATTTTTTTGAAAAAGTACATCATATATGACCTTGGTAGTAAATATAGTAAAAGTCCTAAGTTATAGTAAATAGTGTCAGACAAACTGTTTCACATGGAAAATGTGAGATTTTGAGATAAATATTTGAAGTCGTTGGTATAGTAATCACTTTATTTTCTATTTAAAAATGATACCCCTGATAATGCATCCCTCCCTGGCTTTTGTTGTTGCTATGGGAGCGAACAACCTTGGCTTCCCTCCCTGGTGTGTGTGGTGTGTGTGTGTGTGTGTGTGTGTGTATGTGTGTGTGTGTGTGTGTGTGTGTGTGTGTGTGTGTGTGTGTGTGTATGTGTGTGTGTGTGTGTCCCATTAGCAGCAGCTAGTGTAAATAAGGGCGGTTGCTGAGAAGTGGACTCACTTTTCCCGGCACTTCTCCAGCGCCTCGTCTGCAATCTGTTTCAGGTTGATCAGCTTCTCTCCTCTGTAAACACCATCTGTATATTACAAAGATAAGTAGGGAGGGACGATAAGCTGTATAAACCAGCAGGGAACACGTATATAAACACAAGGCTCTGCAATGTAGGCTCATTTTACTTAGTTTGAGCACACTGGAACAGATACGTTTTAAAATAATGCATAACGAAGGCGGTTTGCTCTATGACTTGAAACCATCTTTACAGCTGCAACAAATCACTTCATGCTGCTGTTGCTCCTACCTGCCGTCACCAGCACGCTGCTGGAAGCATCGATTATCCTCTCACACAGAGACTCAGAGGAGAATCCTGCAAACTGAACATGAAAAGAAAAAGAAAAGACAACATTTTTAAAAGGATATTCTGGTTTATAACAACTTGGGTCAGAATTTCCATCACTGAGTCGGATGCTGGCTGTTCCCGCTCTAACCATGTATAAAGAAGGCACCTTATTCAATCGTACATACTGAACCAGACATTTAAAAAGAATATTTTATATCATTGTCATCTGCTGCATCCTCCAACAGACGCTTCTGTTCTGGCCAAGGTTACAGGTTCACAGTGTAAAGTGTCAGTGTTGATGACAGCATTATGAATCAGGACACTGAGGACTCAGGACTCAGCAAAATGTCGTGGTCTGGCTCTGTCTATGATTTCATGTCAAGCTAATTTATGACTTATATTAACAGACACATGAGAAATCCAAGACACTGGCACTATGCCAGAGGCCCTTATGTTGCTAAGTGGTGTTCATATCAAATATGGAAAAAGTACAAACAGTGACCAAGCACTTACAAGGTCACTTATACTTAAGTCTGCCAAAAGGAGGCCTTGCCAGTCATGAAGGGAACCCATCTTGGAGCTGCCTGGAGATATTTATAACAGTGCTATTAACCTTTGCATGGATCAGGAAGGTTGAAAAGCTAAAATAGTGTTGGCTTCCTTTCAAAATGTCAAAGACTCTGATGACTTTCCAAGTGTATACACAGCCAGTAAACGTCTGACCCAAATATTGAGTGCAGGTGATAAATATAAGAGCAAGGCAAACACTGCTGCTGAAACGACTTTGAACTGAGGTAAGGTGAACATTTGGAACTTATGCATGACAGATATGGGTCAAATAGGCTGCAAAAAAATGCTGACTGACTCATGTTTGAAGCACCAGGGAAGGTTTTTCACACAAGGTAAAGAACTACAATCTTCATACTTTGTTCACATGCTGACATTATATGAGGCTCCCTCTTTATACAGCAAAACGTATTTGTCTGCTCCTCCAAAATAAGTGAAACAACAAGAAATTAAGAAAGGGCCATTCATCATACTACTTACCACTATGGAGTGAACAGCACCTATCCTTGCACAGGCCAACATGGTGTAGACGAGCTCGGGGATCATGGGAAGGTAGATGGAAACCCTGTCTCCCTTTTTTACACCTTGAAAAAGGAAACAAGCAGATGTGTGGTTTTGAATAACACAAATCACATCTGAGCCTGATCTGAGCTACTTCTCAGCTCAAACCAGCTACAGAAACGTAGCTTTATGGGGAGTTTCAGTCTGTTGGATATGTGCCTAATGCTGTACTGTTGGTCTGATAAGTGCATTTGGGAGTACAGCATAGAGCCAACTAATGATAACTTTCCTTATTTATTAATCTAACAAATATTGTATAGATTATTTTAATAATCTATTTTCTATAAAATGTCAAAAACAAATCAATGTCCAAGGGAATTTCATTAAATGTCTTGTTTTGTCATTTAGTATTGTAGATCTTCATATAAGCAAAATACTTTGCTTTATGTTTCAGCTCCACACAAAGCATGTTGTTATATTGAATTTGTCTTTCTTCATTTCTCAAATGTAATTGCTACTGGTAATTTATAAGGATCAAGTCATCTCTGTATTTTTACAACTGAGCAATTCATATTGATGTAATGTTGTTTAAATGTAAGATTTCTTACCCATTTTCTTGAGAACATTAGCACAGCGGCAGACCTGGCTCAGCAGCTGGCTGTAGGTGATGGCCATGTGGTGGTCAGGTGAGTTTCCTTCCCTGAGAGGTGCACACAAAAGAGAAGAAACACAACAAAACTGTCATGCAAAGCTTTGTCTGTGTGTGTTAATTTGTGCGATGTCCGGCTAATTTTGACTACTCTTATGACAGATAAAGAAGCCCTCCAGATTCCCCATTTCCTCGAAAAGTATCTTCTCATATAACGTGACATTGTGGTTTGAGTTCCCTGAGTTCCCGTCCCGTCCCCTGTGTGGCTGTGTCTATATTAGGTTTGGATGTCTGTCAGGGGAGTCACTATGAAAAGTATGTGGCACAAGGTTACACAGGCCAGCGGGCAGCATGTTAGCACGCCTCCAGTGCGGGACGAAAGCCAAAACACTGTTCAAACCTGGCATCAACCTTATCGCCAGGATGATGGTGAAATAAATGATTGCAGTGATGAAACTCTGTACTTTTAAATGCAACGGCCATTGATTAAAATGTTTTTATTTATTTGAAACTCTTTAAATTAATAAGTTATGAGTGTGCCTCTTGGGCAATATGTATTAGAGTAAATCAAAAATACATCTGGAGTTCCACAAGGGTCAATCCTTGGACCACTTTATTTATTTTTACATTCTGTCTCATCTTATTTGATAAGTACATATCTACATATTTTACTATTTCCTGCATTTACTTGCACCATTGTGTCTCTTGAAATATTGTCTTGCTCTATTTGAAGTCTTTTTTTTATTCTTCAAGTATATATTTATACTTACTACTGATTTACTCACTACCACTAAACTCTTTAACTTACTTTTTAATGTGCAGCCCAATCAGAATGCTGCTGCTTAAAATCCAAGAAAAACCAAATTCTCAAAGAACTTTTACCAAAATAACTCCAAAGATATAAATCACCAAATGTTTTATGAGCAAAATACCTCAGGGACAGTTTCAACTCAAAGATCCTTTGAGGTCGTCAGTCATAAAATCTAAACCTGGTGAAGCTGGTTTTAGCTGCTGGACTGCAGTTGCTGTTTATTTTTGCCTCTAGGCATTGTGCTGTTGTTGTATATGTATGTCAACCTTCATTTATCATGCACTTTCATCTTCTTGACCTTGTCTATTTGTTTTACAATAGATGTTTGGTTAATTTTACGTAATATATGACTTTAGTCTTAATGTGTTCAGTGATGCACTTTACCTATCTTTATAATGCATTGCCTTTTCTTGTCTAAAAGATTTAAAAAAAGGAAATGACACCGAGGCAAACCTGACATTGAATGTGTTGTGCTTCTCATAGCAGCTAATGCATAACTAATAGGAACTACTGCTTTTAACCTTTAACAACCCAAAAGGACATTTTTAGGCTGCTGATCATGGCTAATTATTTTCAAAAATACTAACTACTTCATAAAGGATTTTTTCTTTTTTAGTAGTATCACATACCAACCTACCCAACCCTACTTTTGAACCAGAAAACCATTTCTTACACACAGTTGAAAATGTTATTGTTGTTAAAACAATGTTTGCTTTAAAGGGTGACACTCTAGCAGTGGGCCACCTGTCATCACAGAACACTGGGACTTCAATCTCAGAAAAGTAGCTGCAAATAATTCATGCCGTAACATATACATTCAAACAAAAGTACACATCAACTCGTTAACCTTTTTGGTGTCTTTTTTTGTTGTTGCATTGATCTTCTATTAAAGATAGTTTTGCTTTTACTTTTTGGACATTGTGTGAGCTAAGGTCATATAAGTGTTTAACAATATAAAACAAATCATCTCACTACTGAAACCTATAATATAAATAGGGCAATAAAACAGCTGATACGCAATATCTTCATCATATAACGTGCTTAAGCCGTAATGGCAAATACTTCAGCAGATTTATTACATACACTAAGTGCTTTGATGTAGTGCAAACTGCATTTATTTGGGCGATGGCTGGTATCCGCTGTGCCCAGTTCCATTGAACCCCTATTACTGCTGCGCTTACAGAACCGATATTTGTCATTTGCCAAGCCTCTTGTGTTGACAGAGCAAATATATGCCATCATATAAAGTATAGACTTTATGGTGATTTGTCAAGTGTGTGAGGCTTTACTGTAAGCAGCCAGCTACAGTATTGTAAGAGTAAAGAGTTTAGTGGAAGCTTGTAATTGTTCAAACAAACTATTTTTTAGCTCATATGCAAAACATTGCAAAAGAAAACAGTTAAATGCAGAAAACAATCCATTAGGCTCTTATTTGACCTTTTTATATGGGAGGATTTGGGCAATATCCAAGTGATTAAACACTAAACGACTTGTTTTTGTGAGTGCAACAGGACAATCTGCTGAAATGCAAGATCATAAAATGTGTAATTACAAAGGCATATGCAATCTGGTAATGTTTTACAATAGATCCTGTTAAATGTCCTTAGTTGGATCGAAACATTAAAGAACTGGCACTAGCTGAGGTTTGCTTAGGCACTGCAGGACACAAAAGTTGCTGACATAACTCCAGGCAGTATTTCCCATCAAAGCCATCATTCATGGCGGACAAACATTGTGGCTTACCAGTAATAGGCAACCTTTTCACCAAAGTTCTTCTCCTTCACAAGCCTGTCCAGGACATTATAGCACATGTTGGTTTTGGCCCCTTCCATGCATTTGACATAAATGTTCCCTTTTGTCACATCAAAGTTGTACTGCAGCAATGGTCCCGTTGCTGGCTTCTTCCAAAAGAACTCATCTGCAATCTCTTTCCAGAAAGCTGAAAGAAAGTGATGTTTAATGTCAGTGTTACAGACTGCCAGGTAGATAAACACAGGGATCATGCTTACAGTTATCTCTCAGGGAGGTGCATGCATGGAAATATTGTGAGTGCTGCACTAAAAATACAAGCCGGTTTGACCTACCTTCTGGATTCTCAAGAGACTTCCTGTACAGTGCCAGATAGGAGTTAAAATCCGGTACATGAGCATCCCTCTTCAGGTCATCAGGAGGGTAGTACATTTTTTCCTGGGATTCAGGAACAACCATTGTGGAGACAGATGCAGACTGGCCTATATCATCTGAGGGACAGTGAGAAAGTGGGTTAATCTGGAGTCACTGCTGATCTGTCTGTATCCTCCTGAGTAAGAAGACTACAAGGCCTCCTCCACAGAAGCAACACTTTTCAGCATGCATCGAGACCCACCTCTAATCCCCGATCTGCAGGCTCGCTCACAGTCTGTTTAGGGCCAGGACAGCCAATCAGCTTGCACGGTTCAGCACTCCCACTTTTTCATTGGTTGAGCCCCCCCTGGCCTGTTGATCGCATTATTTAACCAAGCAAGGAGGTGGACGAGGAGTGTGTGCAGCAGCAACATGAATGCTGGGATTCATGCCAACCATAGGATGCCAACACAGGATGGTTTGATTTGACAGGGGGGCTGATTGGTTCTCTGGGAAAATAGCAAGAGAGGTAACAGCATTTAATTCACCGACAGCAAGTAAACAAAATCGCTCATCCTCAAGGCAATGCCACTAAATGCTCTTGACATATCTAAAGTATTGTATGCGTCCATATTTATAGGCCATGTCAAACTATAACCCTTGCTTAACTTTTGTTACATATACATGTTTTATATTTGTGTAATACAATTTCTTTTTTATGTGTTTCATGTTTTGGTTATGATAAATTGTATTTCATAAATGCAAGAGCATGACAGAAATTGGACAGTTGAATTTCACTAGACAAAAAGAAGAAAGAAACATGGCAACAACTACCATTTGTTGCATGTTTTCTCAAAGTTATCATTTCAAATATTAATATTTTAATTTTTATAATATATGACATTTCATTATATTAAAACTAGTAATGACACATATTTGACATGTTTATGCTTCAAACAATCTGCCCTTGGAAACGCTGGTAAACATGCAACGTGAGCCACCACTCGGGTTATATAACAAATGTGAAAATGGCTCGGTTGTCATCATTTGTTTTTTGATCTCAAATTTCAATCTGGGATCGATTCAGTTTCGAGCGGTCTGACGTATGACGTAGCGTTTTACGTAAGACCCTCTCAATCGAGCGTAAAAACGCTTGTGTTGATTTCGGCTGCTGCTGTCCCGTCCATTTGGTAAAACACCGGGACCAGACTTCAAGCTCCAAGATGTTTTTAGCTGCTGCATTTCGCTCTGCAGTATCGCAGACGGTATGTGTGTGACTTTCTATATGGTTCTGGGTAAACGTGTAAATGCCTAATAAATAATTTGGAGATAAAAAGCCATGACTTCTCACAAGGGCAAGCCGCTAAGCTAACTAGCATGCTAGCTCACTTAGCTTTCTGCTGTCAGACATTTACAAGGTGATCTTAGGACAACATCAGTAATGCAAAAAAAAAAACCTATTCTAGACATGTGTGATTGCACATTGACTGCGAATATCCTCATGGACATTGAAAATAATATATATTATTTAAGTGTTAGACAACACTGTGACACGTAACGGTCTTTTAGCTGTGTGTGTGTGTGTGTGTGTGTGTGTGTGTGTGTGTGTGTGTGTGTGTGTGTGTGGTGTTGTGTGTGTGTGTGTGTGGTGTGTGTGTGGTGTGTGTGTGTGTGTGTGTGTGTGTGTGTGTGTGTGTGTGTGTGTGTGTGTGTGTGTGTGTGGTGTGTGTGTGTGTGGTGTGTGTGTGTGTGTGTGTGTGTGTGTGTGTGTGTGTGGTGTGTGTGTTGTGTGCTGTGTGTGTGTGTGTGTGTGTGTGTGTGTTTGGTGTGTGTGTGTGTGTGTGTGTGTGTGGTGTGGTGTGTGTGTGTGTGTGTGTGGTTGTGTGTGTGTGTGTGTGTGGGTGTGTGGGTGTGTGTGTGTGTGTTGTGTGTGTGTGTGGCAAAATCCCCATAACAGTTACTGATATAAACAATTTTTTGGGAGTTGTTTCATTAATTTAACATACATAAATAATTATTAGAACAATTGCAAAACAAATATGTGTAACTTAAATCAGTTAAGATTTAAACATTTTTGTTATGGTATTTTGAAATAACAAACAAATACAAAAGTGAAGTATTAAGACTAGTGTCAGTATGTAATAGTGTAACTAAGTTGTGTGGCCTTGGCCTTTATGTTTAGCATAACATGTTTTGATTTGTTAATACTCATAAAGTTATGACTTATTATTTTTAGATGTATTTGTCTCATACAAAACTGAAATAATCTTGTCTAAACATTATGAAACTTAGTGAGCCCTGTATTCTTTTATGATGATCTAATATATATTAATGAGTGACCTATGAAGATGTAAATGAAAACATCATTAATGTACCTAAGTATGACTCATTTATGACCTGTATTTCTCCTGCTTAAATGTATTCAAGTTCATTATAAAAAGGACACATTTGTTGTTACATGTGAGTATCATTTATTTAGACATTTACCTTTTTAGAAACCAGTGCTTATGCTATATGTATATGTGATGGTTTCTTAGGATATGATGTTTCAATAAAAGAATAATAATACAAAGCACATTGAGATATTATCTTTAGTGTGCCTGATCATTGTGTTAAAGTTGTTATTTACACATTATCTTTAATGAATGAACATTACATTTTCCATCTACTAGTTCTTTCAGGTGGTCTAAAGTGAGACATGTCCTTGACCCTGGGAAGTGAACATATGAATTGACACACCACCAGGTATTTGATGTATCTTCTTTCTCTCTGTGCGTGCAGGCCAGGCAGGTCAGGAGTCTGCATCAGTCCGCTGCGCGTGCAGGAGCTGGAGGCGTCTTTGTGGTGAGTTACGTCAACCAGTCTTGTGTAGTCCGGATTAATTCTTTAATGTCGGTTTAACACCTTTTAATAAGCTTGCATTGTTGCACTGGCCATGGTGCATCACAGGTAACCGAGAGCTTATGGGGTTATTGTTAGCTTGTCTTTGTGCTTCAGCCAGAACCTGCTAAATACGTCCTGGAGTTTAGTTAATTGGGCCACAATATTCATCGTTTTTTAATTCTGGCTGACAGGTTTTTTCCCATTCTTAAATCAAGGTCTACTTTCTAGAATCGAATCGAATGGGAGGTCACACATGCAGAGCACACAGCGAAATGTGTTCTCTGCATTTAACCCATCCTAGTACCAGGAGTCTATACTAGGAGCAGTGGGCAGCTATTGTACAGCGACCGGGGAGTGAGGGGGGGAGGGGGTGTCCTTGCTCAAGGGCACCACGGCAGGGCAGGAGGTGAACTGGGACCCCTCCAAGTAGCAGTCCACACTCCATATTTAGGTCTAGGACTTGAACCGGCGACCCTACATCTCCCATTCCAAGCCCCTACTGACTGAGCCACTGCCACTTCTAGTTCATACTTTTACACTAATGGACCACTAAAATAGACAATACCATTTTCTCGACTTCCTGGTACATTCAGAACAATGTGCAATATTGTCTTCCTGTTAGTTGTCCTTATCGCAATTCTCTGTGGCCTTGCATAACCGCATCGCAGCTGTAATAGAGACTGTGCACATGATCATATACACCAACACTATAATGTCCAAGCACCAGTCCATTATTTATTATTGTGTTAATTTAACATGTGGAATATAGTTATACACACATTGAAAATACATTATTAATCTTGTTTATCTTTATTATTATCAACTTTCTTGGATTGAAGTTTTATTGTTCATACAACCTCATTATTCCTTATGAAATTGGCCTGTTTAACTCCTGTGTGTTTGCACATCTTTCACAAGCGAGGCAAGTTTTAGAAATGTCATTTACAGGTGTTCAAATTCTTTGTATCTAATTTAAGATGAGTAAGCCATAAAACGAATGTATAAATGTAATGAATGGATGACTAAGCAGAATGTTTTCCAAACACTCTTCATGTATCCCAGAAGCTGCCTTCAGAGCCTATTAGAGCCATGCTATCCAAGAAAAACATCACATGTCATATCTTTGATGTAATGGAAACATGCCATGGTTTCATTGTCCCCGGATAGTAAAGAAGTTTTCCGTATGTTCATGGAAACAGTTGTTTTGGCTGACTTGTCTTTGACTGCTCTTCAATTGGGAATATTGTTTTCTGACCATTTCAGAAATGACATTTGAAGGTTTTATTTGTTCTTTATTGCACAAACACTACTCACAAGGGGGCAGTGTGTGCAGAAGCCGAAATAGTGATTATCTGTGTTGAGTCTTTTCAACAGTCTGAGAGCAACACCTGTTTTCCCATGGGGGCTCACATGATAGGTTGTTCGTCTTTTATCAAATACTGACTTAATGCTTATGTCTGTTACTCACTGGAAACATGTTACATGTCTCCCATAATAGCAACTTGACATATTTAAACAGGATTACAAATAAAATGGTTGACATGGATAATTGTACCTCTAGTGTAAATAATGTTAACAATGTATTTTTTCTTTTTTAGCACAGAGATACTCCTGACAACAACGCAGATACTCCTTTTGAATTCACTGAGGAGAACTTAAAGGTAGGGTGACATCTGTGTTGAGCCATTTAGGTTTTGTACCTACCTACATCTGATATCCCCCCCCCGGTATTAGGCAGTTTTGTTATGAGTCTATGCTAGTCTTTAATACAAATACATATAAAAGTTTAGCTTCTTAGAGATGCCTATGTTTAGTTTTTGAAATGATCATGATAGTGTTATTCTGTTACGAATTAATGTATGAAAGACTCCTTTTTAGTCAGCCTCATACACTAGCTTCAGTCAGACAATCTATTTAGCACAATGTTTTAATATATACATTCCTATCTCTAGTTTTTGAAATGATCTTCATTTAACTTTTAAAAGCTGATGTCAATCCATGTATCGGTGCATCTTTTGTAAATATCTGTGCCGGTAAAGCTTTAAAACTAGCACACGGTAAAAGATTACTTTTGATCCAATTGTTGAAGTAAAGGCAAATTTAAGCAATTATTATTCTAAACGACATTCATGGTGAAATGTCCTTTTCTGTCTTCCCCTGTAGAGGATTGATGCGATCATTTCTAACTACCCTATTGGATACAAGCAGGCGGCCACCCTCCCCGTGTTGGACGTGGCCCAGCGGCAGCACGGATGGCTCCCTGTCGCCGCCATGAACAAGGCACCGTAATTCTCCTCAAATGTGTTTTACAGCTGCTTAATCCCAGTTTGAATCTGTTTGACAACATTTCTTATGAAATATATAATTATTTTGATTCAGGTGGCTGAAGTGCTGGAAATCGCTCCGATGCGAGTGTACGAGGTAGCGACCTTCTACACGATGTTCCTGCGTCAGCCCGTGGGAAAATACTTCATTCAGATCTGCACAACAACGCCCTGCATGCTCTGCAACTCAGACAGCATCCTGGAGGCCATCAAAACCAAACTGGGTGAGTAAGAGGGACATTTTTCATGTCCACCTTGAACTCGTTATTATTGTTATGTCTGTATTTGAGTTGTATAAGATGAAGATTGCTGAAAAAAGTAAACATCAAGAAAGGAAGTTAAACAACTAGCATTAACTATAAATGACAGGACAAAATAAAGGCAGATAAAAATGATATATTTTTTATTGTTTGTCCTACAGATAAACATAACAAGTAAACATACAGTTCTCTCTTCAATTCAAAGGACAGTGAGTTTTAGACGCAAACAACAAGACAACACTGAAAGCTATCCAGATGACCGTTAACCTACCTCCGTCAGTGTGGCACATAATCAGACATATTTATTTGTGCTTTCAATCCACCTAATAGCGTGGCTTTCCTTTTTGTTATAACGCCCATATCGCGTTACAGCTGTGAAATGTCAGGTAGCGCTGCTTAAGTTACAAATATTTGTTGTTTCTGTAACTTAATCTGCAGCTTGTCAGAAGGGATTAGCTAAACATATATAGCGTGTCTTTATTTGTTTTTCCACAGGTATCAAGGTCGGAGAGACTACTCCAGACAAGATGTTCACGCTACTGGAGGTGGAATGCCTGGGAGCCTGCGTGAACGCTCCAATGGTCCAGATCAATGACGACTATTATGTGAGTGCCGACCACTCTGTGCAGATGGCTTCCTTACTTAAAACTATAACTTAATAAACCTTTAATTGGGTTAAAGCATGAAATGAGTCTGTCAAAGAATGTCTGCAGAGATTATATCTCAGTCATGTTTCAGGAGGGTTTCTTTTATTTCATTTTCTCTGAAAGCAAATGCAGGTGCGGTCTAAACAAATGAGGTTAAAAAAAAAAGGGGAAACCAAACCATGACAGAAAATAATCTTAGATCAAAATGATTTCTGGTTGATAAGTAACATTTCTAAATAATAACATGGCTGGAATAACAATGTTGTCCTGAGTCAGATCTGATGAGGTAAAAACATTCTGCACTCAGTTTCAATAGGAAGTGAAGGAACCTGATTAAATAAATGCAACTGAGAAAGGAGGATTTGTTTGTAACGAAGCATTGCTCATGTGAGATCATTAGGAGGAACAGCAACACTGTGTTAACACCGAGACCACCGTGGTGCAGTTTAGTATTCTTTGTGAATAATGAGGTGTCAGGAATGCACGCAGTATTTGGCTATTAGATCAATTCTGTCCTCAAGTTGCATGCAATTAATCTAGTCTAGATGTTATTATTTGTGTGTCACTCGCACAGCCACTAGTGTAGCTGCACAGATATACCTGTTAAACAGCTTGTTGGTTCACATGTCAGTGTAAATGCCTGTTTGAACACTAACATAGGCAGTACCTGAGCCCTCTTAGTATTGTTTCAGAAGACTATACAGCAAGTATTGGTTATAAAACAAAACCTGTGTAATTAGGTTGGGGGTTAAAATCATAGCCTTGCTTTGTTTGCTTGCTTGGACATTCTGATTTACTATTTTTGAAGTAAAGTAAGGGCACACATTCTGAATTTATCCCAGGTTAAAACTGTAGTTTTGACATTTGAAAAGGTTACGATCATTTTGACTGACAGCCTTGAAACTGCTATACTATGATGCTGGAAATCAGCCATAATCTTCATAAGCTTATTGCAATACTGCAAAAGTAGTATTTCAATCTTCTCCCCTCTCTTTAGGATATCATTGAATAAGAATAACAAGGTGCTCATACTGGTTGAAGGATGTGAAAACTGTTTTGACCTTAATAATCCAGTTGAGAGCACTATTAATATAAAAGCACTATTCTGATTTCTTCCTCATTTATCCTGCCTTCGTCTCATTTCCAGGAGGACCTCACACCTAAGGACATGGATGACATTATTGATGAACTCAAAGCAGGCAGAGTCCCATTAGCTGGGCCCAGGTACATATACAAAATCCTCCTCAATGTATTATAATATTTTCTGGTTGATAAGTAACATTTCTAAAACATTGCATGTGCAACTATCTGTTTCTTTTCCTACAGGAACGGGCGTTTCTCCTGTGAGCCTGCCGGTGGACTGACTTCTCTCACGGAGCCTCCTACAGGGCCAGGTTTCGGTGTCAGAGCCGACCTGTAGACATCTCCTTTTATCAAAAGCAACTTGTCCCAGAAGATGATATTATGCTTTACTCAAACATGTTGTGTAAATAAATTGTTCATATGCCTGTGCTCTAGGTGTCATTGTGTCACTTACAGGATTATAAAACAAGGTGATATACATGAATAGATGTTATGGGAGATTATATATTTTTTGACCTGTGACAACTTCTACTGCTCTATTAGGCACACTTGACATAAAAGCTTTTCGTAAACATATATACAAAGCCATGAAACTACATATCTTAAAAGATATTTTTTGTCAAAACTATAATTCTACCATCGTCTTTTTTTGATTTTACAAATTACATTGCAGTTGCTTTACATGTCATTTGTTAGAGGCTTTTTTCCAAAGCGACTTACATACTCAATACGGTGGGCAATCCCCACAGGAGCAATTTGGGGTGAAGTGTCTCAGGGACACAACGACATGCTGACTGCAGTGGGGTTTGAACCTGTGACCCCCTGATCCGAACGCACACCCCACTGCACCACACCCCTCCCTAATAACAGCTGACAAAAATGGCCTACAAATAGAAAACTCTTGACATATAGTGTTAAAGAAAAGTCCTATTCTAATTTGGTTAATGTCACCAAGCTGTACCACATGATGCTGAGAAAGCTACGAAGCTTATGTCGCAGTTTCCATTGCCAACCCTTCTTCTGTGACAGCTTTCTTTGACAAGTCACATTGTAGTTATTATAGCCATGTTCAAATAATATTTGAACTAATACATTCTAGATACATCTTAAGTTTATCTGGGCAAGCCATACACCATATATAACTATTTTAAGAGACATGTGCATTTCAAATGTTAGCATACAAGTCCATCTCACAATAGAGAAATAATTAGTACAATAGTGGTCACAAAATAATGTTTTCCTTATGTCAAAGAGTACATTAATTGTAATATATGTATGGTAATGGTATGCAATTATATCACTTATGAGTAGTTGAACAATAGGCTTTCTTCAATTAATTCAAGATTCAAATACCATTGTTGACTATAATCCAAGTTTCAAATATCCAAAAATAAATAGGTTATTAATAATAACATAAAAAGTCAATGAATGATCTTAAATGATTATATCTACATTCACATATTCAAAAGTGTCCATATGTTATTGTTTTGAGTATGTGAGGCTACGAAGGCCTACTATGTAGTTATAGCCATGCTACAATGCAGTTTGACTCATTCATAAATTCCAGATATCTACTAAATTAATCTGGTCAAGCCATTATATGATAAACCCTTCTCGACTCACACCCCCTTCTTCCTACAACTGCTCCTGTCATTTGCATCCCACCCCGGTGGCGTGTTTCGTGTCTAGCCGGTGCCCCTCGCGCCCCTCCCCCAGTCCCGTTTCCTTTGCGACTTTCAACAAGCCTGCTCTGCAACATACAATATTATGCACCATGACGCATGCGCAGAACACATACTTCATGATGCAAATGTCACTGCGCAACCAATTCAAAGCTGACGCCTGACTGACACAATGAGTTGGCGGGTCAAAAGAAAAAGGGGCAGAATTTACGCGGTTCATTAGTTAAATTGTCACCAAATTGTTAAGCCATGCTCAATATAGGATCCATACAAATATCCTAAACCCTTGATCTTCGAGAAAGTTCCTACTAACCGCAACGGAAAAGATGACGTCAAGCGTCCATTACTGATCTCCCTCACATTCAAGCTAATATCCGATTGTTTTAAACGCTTCTAACTGGCACAATATGAAAGCACGGAGCATATTCTTAACATTAAAGGTGCAGATTTACTCACATTATCGATAAAACAAAGAGTTAAATCGTTGTTTCCACACATACCCAGTCTATCCAGCAGACGCAGACCTTATAATATCGGTGGGGGCTCACGCGGTCACATGTATCTCCTCGACCAATCAGAGCGCCGCTTGTATGTTTTGCTGGGGCTTTTCTCCGAGAGGACGGGCGACGAACGGCTGGGATGTTTTCAAAAACCAGCGATGAACGTCACACAGCCGTAGGCTACGGTTATAACGTCCAATATTTAGGGAATAACTGTTTATATTGCGCAATATTCACATATAGCCGAACGTGAATGAGTCCGTGGGATACGTGCGACCCAGTTTGAAGGTAAGCGCAACGCAAGGTTAGTTGTTTGATTGAATCTTAAGCGGGGCAAAAACGTTAACGTTAGCCATCTGGCTAGCAGGCTAACAGTAAGCTAACGTGAAGTAAAGTGCGTGCGAAAATCGAATGTTATGTGTTCGCGTGGGCTTGGTATAGTTTGTGTGCCACGTGCGTTACACATATTGAGCATTTTAGTCATTTATGTGTTTAAAAGGCTCACTGCTCCTTCTTTTTTGAAGCAAGGGGGCAGAAAGCCGAAAGGAAAATGTCGGGGCAAAGCAAGAGGGTTAGCCCCAGCCAGCGAGGCTGCTGTGTCGGGCTGGAAAGGAGCTTGCTAGCTAGCTAGATTAAGCGCTGGGGAGGGGGAATGCTGTGAGGGCAGTGAAGGGGCTGCAGTGGGCTTTTGTCTCAGGCTGTGCTGTGCTCTCATGTTTTATATTGCTATTAAAACATTAATATAATGTATGCTGGCCATAGAGTCGGTACACAACATTGTGCAACGCATTCAGGACGTAATTATACACTAGGTCGCTATGTTTACAAACCCAGTTGAACATTTTAGCGCTCAATCACCATTATAATCGAGGTTATTGCAAGGTACGTTTACACATACAATGAATTTGCTTCGGTGTTTGGTAGTGCAAAGTGCAAACGTAAAACGATTATATAAAGAAATGTCTTTTTAACATTGGAAAAGAATAAAGGAAAGTATTTACACCAAATATACAAAAACACTAAGTACAAAGAATGTATGACAACTGCAATATATCGTATTTTTAAAGTTGAGGAATGTGCAGATTTTTAGGGAGGTAGGGAACAACAACATATTGCTGGCTGTGCATTGAAGGCAACACTAGCGACATTACCGTGAGGTGGGTGTTGTTGTCCGCAATGAGCTAACCAACGCCACCGTTTATCTACAGCCAGCGCATATGTTGTATCTTGATATATATTCTGAATATGGTATAAATGTATAGATATGTTTTGCTAATTCATACAAGGAACTAGCATAGCTTGAATAACTAGCAACTTGCGCCTCCCACCCAATGACTCTGACATCTTGGGGGTGTGTTGCCTGATACAAAAGATGCCTGTTTTTGCATGGCGACCGATCTGAAGCAACAAAACGTCGATCTTAAATGTAAAATACCTGAAGTTGAAGAGCTATTTTGTGTGGACGGAATTAATAAACATTACAATTACCCTTTTTAAAATCTCACATACACCAAAAGAAGTAGAAAACCGTGGTTAAATTGCCATTATTTTTAATTATATATATTTAAATCACGTATGCCTGATTATATATTTTGCCTTGAGTAATACATTCGACCACAATTTAAGATGATTTGAACAATATGAATACATTATTCACATAGACTTCAAATTACAACAGTATTTGACAGATGTAAATGATATGACATGTCTTTTGTTATATGACAAAAGGCAAAGAGAACCTTAAAATGCCCAACCATGATGGAATTGCCAAGAATAGGAAGATAGGGCTTACTATATCAAACATTTTCTTTCCAAACATTTACAAAACAAAATACTTTGATCCTTTTTTTGTGATCACAATAGCAGTTCTATTTATTCGCTCTACTTGTGATTACAAAAGAAGTACCCCCAAGAATAAATCGCTTATGTCAGCAAAACAATGGTAAACATGTTATGCTTGCTGAATAGCTATTTCATTAACCCAATGGTTATAAGAGAACAACATATCTACCCTTATAATATTGCAAATTAACACAGTAACGAGGAAGACGGGAAGTTTACCAAGCTGAAATTAAACAAATATCTTAGTAATTTCACTCATCGTCACAGTGCTAAAGAAGTAATTGATAACATCGACTGTGGTAATGTACATAGGGTTGACAACCTGCGTCTTTTTAGTCTCTCATGACTCGACATATTTTGATTTTTACTAATCTAGGGACTCACTCACTGTCAGATTTATTCCGTAACAACATTTAAATTATTAATTGTTTCTAAAACTCATCAGCAATTACGTTTGAGGGGAGCTAAGTTTCTAAGTCTGTTATGATATAGGAATACGTAACATGTTTTTGGGTGAGATTTCGGTGAGTCATCTATTATTCATTGGCCTGCTATCATTTGAACTTTCAGTACCTATTTTAATATAGGTACTACGATAGACTAAAATGTTGCAAGTCATAGCCCTGGCGGTAGAGAGATATAAAAACTTTTTAATCTTACTCTTCTATTGGTTTAGTGAAGTTTTAGATGCAAATATGGTATATTGTCAGGGTTGATAGTCTGCTGGATGCCCATGTTTTTGGGGTCGTTCTTAATAAGTATTCTTTTAGTCTCTGTGTTAGGTTAGTGCAAAGACATCAATATTCAACTACCATTGAGAATGAAGATCCTTGTTGGTAACTAAGGATTTAGTTGCCAATAAGGATTGGCAACTAAATCCTTAGTTACCAACAAGGATCTTTATTGGATTTAGTTTAGTTTGGATTTAGTTTTAATTACATTAATGCATGTAATTATGCATTACATAATTTGGCTGAGAATGAATAAGAAAGCTCACACTATGACCTTGTCCCAAAGGTTATAGTTTGAGAATGTGGTACGGATATGTCACATATTTAGCAACAAAGCACCATAAAGTTTCTCTGTGTGCATTATACATACTCTGCTATACGTACCGTTTAACCTGCCCTTTTCTTCCTGCATTTATCCCTGAATATTATGCTTTTTGTTAGTTAGTTATTCATCATTTAGTATTTAAAGATATCACCAGATCTCAATCCAATGAAGCCCCTTTTGGTATGTGGTGGAACTGGACATGCACGTGTAGCCTACAAATCTGCGGCAACTGTCATGGCATTTGTCAGCATAGCGGGTTATTTCTGCGCCAGCGTCTTTTCAGTTGATCCCAATGGGGAGGGAGCATGTGCGTCCATCTCGATAAGAAGTGCTGCAATCAGCTTTGTCTTTATGTGTGCCACCTGAGCACTAACCCTAGTTGAAAATCTCTGAACATTTGAGAAAGTGCTGTTGACGTCACTGGAATACGATGAAGCTTGTTTCAGCCTTGTCTACGTCAGACAGACATGAACATAATAAAGATATTCAAGCCAATTTGTGGAGGCAGATCAGCTTTGCCCTAACGTTGCTTTTGGATTCAGGGTTGACCAGCGCACCCATACAAAGTAGCCCATGAAGTAGTGTTGTCACGATACCAACATTTTGGTTTCGATACCAAGTCAAGAATTGCGATTCCGATTCTTTTTCGATACTTTTCTTAAAAAACGGAAACAGTCTTAAATGTAATTTATTGTGCTTTATTTCACACCAGAACCATAACCACATTGGTAAGTTAGCTAAAAAGATAGCCATATTAGACTGTTATCATTGCCATTAATTGCTTCGGTAAACTACGAAAACGTTTGTCACAAAATAAATTACACTGGTTTGACTTAGATTTGAGGGCATGCGTTTGAGCATGATGTCATTATGTTATCTATCACATTCGCTAACCTGTCTGGATGCCGGTTGGCGAGGTGCTTAGCGAAGTTTGATGTGTTGGCTCCCTTGGTTTGCAGGGATCTAAAACATGTCTGACAGACAGGCCTCGTGGTGTCCGTAGGCTTGCCCTCACTGTCAGAGATATAGCTCAAATACTTCCAAATTTAGCTTCTGCCGTCTTTTTTGTCAACAAGCCGAGGTGCAGCGGCAGTTGCAATCCCACTTGCAGCCATGCTTCTCGCTTTCTCACATGTTCTGGCAGCTAGCGAGAGAGGGGAGGGACTTAGAGCGTGCTTGAGAGGGGAGGGACTTAGAGCGTGCTTGAGAGGGGAGGGACTTAGTGCGTGCTTGAGAGGGGAGGGACTGCTGGCACGGCTGCAGTGCAGGGAGTGGAAGCAGAGCGCTGAATACACACGGCTCTTATTAAAATGGTGCTTTCTCATCGGAGTACTTTTCCCCGTCATTCTTAAAGTACCGATACTAATGAAACGGAGGAATCGTAACGTTTTTAAAGGCAGGGTATCGCGGTATCTTTCAAGTATCGGTACACCGTGCAACACTACCATGAAGGCAAGCCTTCTCCAATGGGTGATCAGGGGGAAAAACAATGACAAACAAATTGATCCAATACACAACTCAACTAAAACCCAAAGGGATGCGGGTCCCCAAGAAATGTAAGCCTTGTTCATTTTGGAGGATGCTACTGCCTACCTTTTTCAACTTCACAACTCATCAACGTATTAGTGCAGAGACAAAACGGAACAACGGGTATCACTTTGCACATAGTCATCCAGTCCAGAAAAAATACCGGTTAGTGTGGTTGCATTCGATAAGCAGAACAATAATATTATTAGTTCTTGCCATTTAGTATTGGTTTCAAATTTGGAATCAAGTTTCTGTTCCCAACGATATCCTCCCAACAAGCAGTGTAATGTGATGCTGCAACCACTGTAAAACATTGCTTTTCAAAGTATTAATTTAGATTGTAACAAACCTGCTTTTGCCACCATGACATTTCTATGCACACTACACGTATAAAGGGAAAGTAACACCAGCCAAAGCCAAATATTGGTTGACCTTGACTGATGACTTGCGATTTCACAAGCCACGTTCCTGAGGATGTGCTGTTTGGCTGGAGTGAAGGGTTTTTTATTGTCAGAATTGGTGATGGATATGTTAATTTCCTCTTCCTCGTAATTTCTCGAAGGGTTTCCTTGACGGACTCATTTTGATCTTGTTTTTGCTGCTCCTCTAGAGCTTTTTCTTTCAATGTTGCACAGCCATCTTTCTCGCAGGCGTTGGCTTTGTTTCTAGTGCTTACCCACAGTGTCTCTGCACAGTTTGACAGTCGTCATTTGTTGGCACAGCTTGGAGACCTTTTTGGTTTGATGGAAGGAACTCCTGAGTCAATCGTATTGTTGTCATATATCAATGATTACAGGCATGATCAACACAGGGATTGTATTTGTATTCTTAACACAATAGCATTAAGTACTGTATTAAATGTA